AAGGGTACAATATCGCCCCCAAGACGGAATGCACGTCCACCCAGCCGGATAGTTCAGAGTTCTTCTCGTGGAGCCACTTCGCAATCCCCTGAGTTTCTGGCTCGCTCGCCGGACGCAGGCCAGGGAAAGTTTCGTCCGTGACTGGGATTTTTGTTTTGGGGTTCGTGGTGTACTGCAACCAGTTGCGGTTCAGGTCGACTTCGTTGGCATTCTTACGCTGCAACCGCTTGCCGTTCGTCCACGAGATGTCGTATCCGTCAATGTTGACGATCGGCACAAAGTACAAGTTGAACTTGTCCGCCGCCGTCTTTTTCCCGTTGGCAATGTCATCCAGGATTGAAGACAACGCATACAAGTTGGACGACCCCGCGATCCATTCCCGGGCGTGGGCCAGACTTTGGAAGTACAACGACTTGGGCTTGGACCTGCCGCTGGTCAGTTTGTACGCGTAGATAGGCTTGCCTCGGACGGTGGTCGAAATCTCTTCTCTTTTCAACAAAGTTGGGTTCTGCGCCACCAACTCATCCACGTAATCGAAGATTTGCGCCGACGTGCGGAAACAATTGTGGAATTTGCTGGCCGCGTACTTGCCACGTTTCAACGTCTGGAGGTACCCGCCATTGGCCCAGTGGCAGTGGCGGTTAATGTCTGCGTCGTTGTGGATCGATTGGACTTGGGCGTTGGTGAGGAGCTTTCTGTCGGGGCCTCGCAACAAACCGGCGGTGGTTTCGTTCAGGTCGATATCCCCCGCGGCAAATGCTGCAGCCGACGAGGCAAGCGCGAGAATGGCAATGGCCTTCATGAAGGAATTTCAACAATGAGTGCAATGTTTGGGGGCTTGTGAGTATGGGAGGGTAGCGTGGAGTTCTTTTGCATTCATATTTGGACACACCTATGTGTGCGTACCTATGCGTATGTAGTGCGATACCTCCTCAGATATCATAATTGAAAAGTGTTTAAACTGCAGCTGACTATGATGTAAATAGGACATGGTACAAAAGCACTGATGGAAATCACACAATCTCAGAAATGGTGTGGACGGCCAATCACACTGGAATCAGCAACTTGGTCATCGTGTTGAATAGTATTTCATTGGATCATGTTGGTGATGATTGGTTCACGTATCCTGGAAAATATTACCAATGAGCTTCGATCTTCAGCGAAGCGTGATGTCGTTCGTGACACACTTATTAATACCTGGTTATGTGAGTTTGGATTATCATTTTTAAGACATTCCTCCGCGAGGGCCGACACTAGAACCACATGTTATGGAACCGCTTCGCCAATTGTAACGCGCTTGCCTGGCAAGACAGAAAAATTGTTAACTGTAAGGAAAGGACCAATTCCCCGAGTGAGTGGGTGACACACCCACTCAATGGTCAAATGCCCACTCACTCAGGGAATTTGGTACTATTGACCTAAAAAGTCCCTGAGTAAGTGGGTGGGACTAATTGCTTGCTACGTATGTACTCCCTCCGTGTCACTATAAGTGCGCGACTCAGAAAAATAAAGTATACCTCCTCGTATAAAAATACAAAACACTCCAAGATCCTATAACGATCATGCATTTATAAAGGTGTAACGATACAATTGTCCAATCATAACAATCAAAATGCATGTCAGGCGGCACCAGTCGTGTTGTGTGTTTGGCGGCACAAGTCTGTGAGTCGCGCGGAGGCCACGTCTGCTGTTCGATTCCGTGGGTCCTCGTTCACGGGGCGGTCGGTCTATACGGCGTAGGTGAGGGTGGCGAAGTTGAATTATACGTTGTATGTTGTACCGTTGGGATCAGCCTCGTCTCAGGCGAGCATCCATTTTACCGGGGGGGTCGTCGTTCTTGGCCCCGTTGACCCCGAGTCCGTCGGGTGTCCACTACGACATGCACATTTCGGGGCGTTACCAATCGATCTAAAATGTTGGTCGATGCCTCTTCCCATGTGATGCGTGTGAAAGTCAAAACGTCAAATCGATTTGGGGTTTCCATTCGTCAAATCGATTTGGTTTCCATTGTTAAATTATGGATAACCTGTGATATTGAATATATTTCCATCACTCCCCTTTATTAATGTTGAGAGGTTCATTTTTGGCCGTTTCTGTCAAACTCACATTTTAGGTTTCTTCCAATTTGAATCTGCTCAGGCCACTTCGAATGCCATCTGTTCAATCCCATGTGCTGGACTGTTGCTACTTCAAGTATTACACAGTCCGATTTTCCGTGATTCCTTCGCGTTTTTCCGTGATTCAGTCCGATTTTCCCGGTTAGTCGACCCGGTTAGTCGACCAGGTGCAATCTTCAGGTTTTACTTCGCCGCTTCATACCTCGTGCTTCGATCAAGCTTCTTCGAAGTTCGGTCCTCGTCTCTGGATTTCCCAGGTAGAGGAGGGACGGATACTGTAAATCCTTGCGGAATTAAGCCGGGGATCGAACCAACGACCTTTGAGTTAAGAAACCGATGCTCTACTACTGAGCTATTTTCCCTCCCTCTCAGCTTCATTTACATGGTTTCCAGCTTTCCTTACGACCAATTCCCCGAGTGAGTGGGTGACATACCCACTCAATGGTCAAATGCCCACTCACTCAGGGAATTTGGTACTATTGACCTAAAACGTCCCTGAGTAAGTGGGTGGGACTAATTGCTTGCTACGTACGATAAGTACAATCCTATCGTTAACGTGAAACACAAAGGCATACAACGTTGTACACAGTTAATCGTACCATCGGTGAATGCTACGTACTGTAGGGGAGGCAGTTTTTCACTAGTGGTGTTTTGGGGTTTTGCTCACGGATGTTCAAGTAGAGTTAGACATGGGGCTTCACTCATGGTTAAATGGTGTGGTGGAGTTTTACTTAGTGGGCATTGTTGGATTGTTGCTTCATAGCCAAGCAGCCCAATAAGTGTAATATCACTCCATCATAGCTAACGTAAAACAAGCAAACAAGCCGTGGGCCCTATATCTTTGCGAAGGTAATCGTA